CTTCATGTCTTCAAGTCATCTGGTATATATAGCTGAAGAAGCTATATTACCGTTGTAGCATTAGTTGATCTTGATCGTTCATTTTGATCAGCTACACACTATTGCCAACTTGCATTGCGGTGAATTAATGCAAGAGATGGGCTTCTTACAGTGAGTTTGAAAATCCTCACCTGACAAATCTTCAAAAGTCATATATGTCGGCTAATCAGCTGAAACTTCTCCGAAAAATAATTTCCTTATCTTGACGGATTCAAAATGATGAAATCTTCCAAAAGATTTTCTGCTGATTCTTGCTTGAGTAAAAATTATATCTTCGTCCATTTCTTCTTCTGAAATGATTTGAGATGCATAGCAAGAGATTTAAATGAGAAAGAAGATGTGTAGAAGAATTCACGTGCATCTTCCTTATCATGTCCACAAGCTTCCAAACTTGTAGTCAACTTAGCATTCCATGTGTCCACATTGTAGCATGCACCTAACAAGTGTCATCCTTAAAAAATATCTTTCTAATGAGATTTAAACACAAGCCTAACAACATATATCTCCCACACTTATACCATATTAACTCATTGGTTAATATTTCTGGATTTAATCTTTATTCCCAGAATGGCTTTAGTAGCATTTTAGATTAATTCACAAATTAATCCGAGTGTGCTTCTTGGTCGTCCCCTATCAGCCTCTTCGTCGTCCCCTTCCTTATCTCTTACTCAAAAATATAGAGATTGAGTCTCGATCCCATGACCTCTGACTTTACCAACCTTGTTCCTTATCCACTTCACCGCTTGATATCTTCCAAGGTAAATAATTCTCAAATAGTAACATTCTGGATAAGTATATTTTGCTAAGAATTTGGTAGACTTTATGGCTTGACTTGGGACTTAGGCTAATAGACAACTAGACTCAAAATAAAATAGGGGGAGTTCTAAAAATACAAATTTGGCTCATCAAAACTATTACATTTTATTCCTAACACAATAGCAGTTTTAGAGGAAAAGACACTCACTCGATAGTACCGAAGCATAATTTTTGCAACACAAAACCCTATTAATTGGCGTAATCCATGATTCCTCTTGTTGCCACAGCTGCCAATCCGCCATAAATGAATTCTTGATTTCATCTAGTCCCCTGGTGTGCTTCACTGCAATTTTAGCGTCTTGACACGGTGCACCTTAAAAAACAGAACCAAATCCTCCTTCCCGAAAAAGACAATGATAATAGGCATTGTTTCTCATCTGTGTTGAATATATACTGTAAATTAGGTGTACCGTTTCTTCAATGCCCAATGCGTAATTCTAATTAATTGACCAAAGTTCATGTTATATTTTATATTGTATTTTTTTTAATACACTCTAACATATTCATAATATATGTTTAACAATTATGTCAGTTTTGATTGGGATGGGATTCGAACCTAAGACTTCCCTTATGATAATCAATGAGTAACATAAGAATAATAAATAGTTAACGGAAAATTCCGTTACTATAGTTTACAGAGATGGAATGCATACGGTAAGTAGGAAAAATAATAAAATAAAAAGGAATAAGGGTCAAATAGGCCATCGAACTGCACTCAATAATGCAATTAGGCCACCGAACTTCAAAAAGCTACAATTGGGTCCCTGAACTAACAAATTCTATTCAATTAGTCTAATTTGTAGGTTTCCAAGTTGTTAGCAGGTTACCTCTTTTCAAAAAAAAAAATTAATTATTATTTAAAATAATTATTTAATATTAATAATTAAAATTAAAAAAAAAAAAAAAAAAAAAAAAAAAAACAGAGATTGACACGCCGGAGACGAAGAAGGTTTCTTCGTCTCCGGCCATGGAGACGGAGAAATCTTCTTCGTCTCTGGCTGGAGACGAAGAATATCTTCGTCTCCATGGCCGGAGACGAAGAATATCTTCGTCTCCATGGCCGGAGACGAAGAGACTCTTCGTCTCCGGCCATGGAGACGAAGAGTTTCTTCGTCTCCGGCAATGGAGACGGAGTTAACTTCTTCGTCTCTGGCCGGAGACGAAGGAACCTTCTTCGTCTCCGGCCAGAGACGAAGAAATTAACTCCGTCTCCATGGCCGGAGACGAAGAAGGTTTCTTCGTCTCCGGCAGACGGTATCTTTTTTTTTTTTTTTTTTTTTTTTTTTTAAATTTTAAATAAGTATTTTAAATAATAATTTTTTAAAAATATTATAAATTAGGGGTGACCTGCTAATAACCTCCAAAACCTACAAATTGGACTAATTGAATAGAATTAGTTAGTTCAGGGAGCTAATTGTTGCTTTTTAAAGTTCGATGGCCTAATTGCATTATTAGGTGCAGTTCGATGGCCTATTTGACCCTTATTCCAAATAAAAATAATGTGAAAATTAATTTCAACAAACAATTACACCAACGCTTTTTAGTTCCAGTTAGGGCCTTACTTTATTGGCTCTTAGCTACTCTACATATGAATAACTAGAAATTTATTGAGATGGCTGAGTTGCTCTAAGGCGCCAAATTAATATTTTGGTTTAAAAGGTCGTAGGTTCAAATCTCACTTTAAACAATAAAATGTTATTATTTTCAGCCATTTAATATTATTACAATATGATTTTTAAAACCTTTTTTCACCATAGAACTAATCTTAATACAATTTTCACCCCGTAATTTTGAAAATTAAAAATGTAATCTATTCTTGCCCTAAAATTAATATATATTATAATTTTCCTACACCTTTATTTTTTAAAATTAAAAATGTAATCTATAATATAATTTTTCCCTAAAATTGTAGTTCATTAATAATCAATCAATATACTACAAATCAAATTTCATTCTTCTACTCTATTAAAAAGAACTAGTTACCATACGGGCATTGCATGAATTGTCCAATGCCCAATGTGTATTTTTTCAATTAGTGTTTCATATTCTCTCTTTCTTTTACGAATTACTCACAGAATTTCGAATCAAATTTTATATTTGCAGGTTTGGGATTAATTCGTAAAAGAAAGAGGGATTTTGCTCTTTGCAGGTCTATGAATAAAGAGATGTCAATATTGAAATTACTGAATTGTCCCTCTATTTAACACCAAATGAACTGAATAATAAACGGGGGACTAAATTGAGCAAAAACACAAAAGTCTGGGACTACATTAAGTCACCAAAGTCAAAACCATTATAGTCGAAGACCATTTTGGGTATTCAGTCTTTGTGGATTAGTTGACTTCATTGTACTACTGTTAACATAAATGTTTGGCAAGCACCTTGTGCTCAGATGGCACCTTTGTGACTTTCATTGAAGGAAGGTCACAGGATCGAACTCCGGTGGTGCGGTCATGACTCTTTGGGCTGCAATTGAAAGAGGAAGTATAGACCAGATACTACCTTATAATAGAGTCAATAGTACTCAAAAAATAATAATAATAATAAGTTTACAATTATGAATACAAGTAACACACCCCAAACTAAAAATGTACAAAGACCCAAATATGGCATCTAATTGGAATATACACAACATATTTCCCGCTCCTTAATTGGAATGTGCATATGCTCTCCAGTCCACAACTCTCTCTTTTTCTCATAGAATAGTGATGCATTCATGTCAAAGGTATATACATGTACAATTTCAATGTAGAACAAGCAGGCCAGGGGCATATATAAAATGGAGACAAATGACCCATCCTAGTTTTCAAGAGCCAGATTCTTTTTTTCCTTATTTTTCGTTATGATGAATACAATTAACAATTTAATTTAGCTATTGGGGTGTTTGGTAAATAACTGTTAGTTGATTGAGTTAGTGAGTTTGACTAGTTGATAGCATTAGTTGATTTTAGAAAGATGATTGGTAATTTAGTTGTTAGCTTATAGCTGATCACATACAAAATGACTTTCTAAAAAGCTAATCGAAAAAGCTGCTTTAAGCTGCTTTTTGAAATTTAGTGTTTAAGAACAATAAACTGTTACAAAAAGTTAATTAATCAAACACTCATATTTGTTGTTTAACCAAGACAAATAATCAATAGTGGTCAAACAAACAAAAATTGACTGATAAGCTAGTTATTTTACTAAACATGGCCATAATCTCTTATAAACTAATAACTATTTTTTTAAAAGTCAATCAAATTCTTAAAAGGACTTGAATTTTCGTAATCTTTGAAATTCCTTACTTATTCTCATATATATGGAATTATTATCAAGATAGCTTAGCTGGGGACAGCTGAGTTATACTGCTCTTATTATTATAGATTATAGAATCACATTCCACTTAGAGATCAAGCTGTGTCATTGTCAATGTGGTGCAATTTTATTATTATTATTTTTTTATTGTGACCCCCTTTTCTTTTGTCCCAATACATTCAGGTGCAGTATATACTGAGTAATTTTTTTCAATTTTTATTTAAAATTTTGTCATTTTTCAAACTTTAATGTGAACCCCATAAAAGAGAATAAAAAATCAATATTAAAAAAAAGTGTAAGAAGAATGGAAATGAAAAAGAGACTCCTCTGGACTATTATATGCAGTTCAGCTCGATGGAGATATTGTCAATAGATAGAAGAATGGAAATAAATACTCAAGTGGTGTATAAGACTATTCAATCAGAGTCAGTCTTGATGTACGTTTGGCCAAATCATTAAAGAAGTTTTAAGTTCATCTAAAAAAATTCAGCTTCAAATTTGTGAACCAGTCTTAGAATCAAGTTTTCTGTAGCATTGCTAGGGAAGTTATTCTTAAGTCTGACGGTAAGAAACGTTTGGCCATTCCATCCATCTTTATTGTAAACGTTGCTATGATTAAAAAAAAAAAAAAAAAAAAAAAAAAAAAAGTGTAAGAAATGGTCCTTATTCCTTAAAGAAAAATGTGCCACTAAATAATTCAATATATTAATGAGCATATACAAATAATATTCTATAAATAAAAGTTCCCAAACATATAAGATACGTTTATAATCCGTGAAATTCTCTACTTTTTTGAAGAAAAATAAATAATTCATTTACTTATACATTTCAAAAGCAGCAAGAATGGAAAATATATGGAAAAATGGAAAATTAGAGAACTGAAATAATCGTGACCACAATATCTTACAACTTATGTTCTACTGGAAAGTAGAACGTACTAATAATTACTACCACTGCCAACAAAAACAGAACTATTAACTTCATATGCTTGTTTTTCCCAAGTTTCTGATCTTATGGATTGCTCATGTTTGAAGATGAAAAATTCATGCAGCCTTCTCAATTGCTTCTATGCATTCTATTACTGAAGCCTTCTTGGACATGGCTCCAATCAAGGCTTCATAAAGCCCTTTGTTGTTCTTAAGTAGCGAGCCAGCAAACAGAACCTGCGACATATAGCGTTCCCCAAATGAGTCTTGTCCTCGTCAAGGCCACTCAATTGGGCTATAAAGCACATGAGCCAAACAAAGAATCCAATCAATTAACTAGTCTAAGGCATAGCCTTATAAAAACCTATATGTTTTCTCTTATATTTTCGATGTGAGACAGTCAAAATATATGCCAATCTCTTTATAAATGTTGCAAAGCCACACATGAATGATAGCATCATTGACGAGATCTCAACATTGAAACTTACTGCCCATCTAGTCAGGTTTTGCTGCTGATCTTTGCTAAGTGTTGGCTTGCTCCGGTTTATAAATCTCTATGAGACATAGACAGACAACGGGTCTAATGGTAATTAGTTACAGAGAAAACATGGAGAAATCGCTATAAGTAATGGAATTCACGAACCTGAAGAGTGAAGAGATCTGCTGATTGACCTACAACTTTATCGTACTTTAGACCTTCTGCTGCCAATCCCGCCATTGCTACCACTGCTAACCTGAGAATTGATATTAATATTCTCACTCAATCTTACATCTTATGGTTCTGTGAAGAGATTTGAATTCATGCATTGTAGTGAACATATCAACAAAGATGATCCTCCTTCAAGAAAATTACTTAATGCAGGGGCAACAGAAAAATGGAAGATAAATGAGAGATTGTTGTTAAGACAGACTTTCAAGGCGAGGTGTCAGTGACGGCCTAGTTGCCTAGGTGAATAGGCAATGAGGATATATATATATAGGCTTGTGTTCAAATGAGAACATTGCCTTAGCTGAGAACATGCAAACAAGCATTAGTGCACACAATCTACTCTAGGGTCATCACCGTCATCCAAGCATGCCTGGAAGTAGATTGTGTGCATTCGTGCGGCAGATTATGTGCACTTATGCTTGTTACTAATGTTTGTTTGCACTTTCTTATCTAAGAAAGTGTTCTCATATAATCCTAAATCTATATATACCAATTCATAATTTAACATTTTCAACATGGGTCTTTAGATTTAGCCTTCCTTTTAGGATCCGTTGATGGATCATAATTGCGGTTATTTTCATTCTCAGCCATAACCTGTCATAAACAATGTAAACAACCACTAAGGCAAGGCTAGGAGAGGCGAGGCGAGGCGAGCTCATTAGGCGACCAGTCTCCACTGACCTAACGCCTAAGCGTTGCCTAGGTATGCCTTTACAACAATGAATGAGAGATTGGGAAATGGCAGACATATCTTTAAAAAAAAAAAAAAAAAAAAAAAAAAAAAAAAAACGTCCACCCAACCTTCACGGTGCTATGAAAGTCCACGGGCTAATGCATTTATACAATAATAATTCCCTTCTTAATGTGACATTTTTGTCCAGAAACTGAAATTTTTGTTTCCAATAAGTTTCAGTTTTTCACAGAAAATATTACCAGGATTATATTTTCATTTTATGAAAGAGTTTTTCTCTTATTTTCATGTTATTCCTGTTCTGTTCTCAAACACTATCCATATACCTATTCATCCACCTGTTGTATTCATGAATATTCTTCACTACTGACTGAAAAGTACTATGGAAAGAAGGCTGAAAAGAGGGAGGCCTCCATCCTAGGATTGCTTGCGTAAAGAAACACCATAAATTACCAAGGAAAACAAGATATTTTCAAAACAAAATAGATACTGTAATAGCCATAGCCTCGAGTTTTGCACCTGTCTATTTCCTTTGCATCAAGTTGGCCGCTATATATCAGCTTTTCTAGCTTCTCATCAATGAGATTGACATGCTCTTTCCCAATATCAAGTGAGTAGTCAAGGATGGGAAGGCCAAGTAAGTAGGCAACTGAAATTCAATTTCCATTGTTTGTCAAATAGTTGGTTTTCAGTGGCAAGATCAAAAGAGAAAGATTAAATGCGGAGATGGGAATAAATAGCAGTACCAATTTTAGATACATTAAAATTAGCCAAATTCAAGGTGGATACATACATATATATATATATATATATATATATATATATATATATATATATATATATATATATATATATCTGTGTGTGTGTGTGTGTGTTGGATCTCAACGTTGCACTAATCTTACTTCTCAGTAGGTCATGAAGTTCTTTGATTATTTGGTTGTCATATCATTCTTAAAACCAATTGGTAATAAGTAGGTAGATATTAACCATTTAACTACATCCATCCATGGTAAGCCACAGCGCCACGTCTCGAATCGAGGGCCAACCCGACCAACGCCCAACACTAAAATTAGCCAAATCCAAGGTGGATATATATATACCTAAGAAGTGAGCTGCTTCATGATTGGCAATCCTCTCCTGGTAGTCGGGGAAAAATGAAGAAAATCCATCAATAGCAGCCTGGAGAAGCCTACACCATGAATGAAAGAGTACTGCTTATTATACCCACAACTGGCCTGGAAAATCTTCTTCAACCAATATTATCCAAGGAAGAAATTCAAGATTCGTGCTGCTACAATGAAAATACGGCCACCCAGTAACTATATTTTATATAGGACTGACTCTTAACTTACCCAGGGGAGATGCTTCCCACAGCCAAAACTATCAGGGAAATGCTCCCTATCAAATATGGTACAAAAAATCCCCAATCCTGGAAGCAGAAAGATATGGCCAATCATGAATCTGTAAGTCAAAATCATTTCAAGATAGTTTGCGTGTTTGTTTAGTGCTCATGTTGAACAGTTTGAAAGCTATTCACTTGCCTAAAATATTTAAACACTAAAAGAGTAAAAGTATTACCCCAGGAAGTTGACCAGCAAGAACACCCAAAAACCCTGTCGTTCCTACCACTGTGAAGAGAAATGCTGCCTGCATCACTGAAGGAAATCAATCTCATGAACATATTCCAAACCAATTGAAAGTAAGAAAAGAATGAGAGATTGATTGCCACATGCAAAATTCCATAAAAACAACTTTATTCAGAATGCTAAGTATTTTTCCTATCACTCCTTGAACTTGTATCTTGTACCAAATATTCCCGACTTAATACCCAATTTAGTTCTCGACTATATTGGTTTTTCTCGATTTAGTCCTAAACGACTTTTTGTGATTAATTGGGTCCTTGACTTTGATGGTTTTACCCAATTGAGTCTTTGGCTATTAAAATCAACGACTAAATAAATTTTAAAAAAAAAAAATCACTATAATCAAGGACTAAATTGGGTAAAACCACTATAGTCGAAGACTAACTTAGATAAAACTACTATAATCGATGACTAAATTGGGTAATAATAGAGGTGCAATTACCAAGCTATCTTAACAAATGACTCAATTGAGTAAAACCATCAAAGTTGAAGATCTAATTAAGCACAAGAAGTCGTTTAGAACTAAAAAAAAAAAAAAAAAAAAAAAAAAACTATTATAATCGAGGACTAAATTGGGTATTAACTAACTCAAATATTCACCAAAAACTTTAAAGAGCCACAAGAGAGAAGACTCCATCTTTTTTTTTTCTACCTTATTCCTATTCCTTACTATTGTAACAATATATATCATTATTATTTTTGAAGACTTAGAAGATCCAATAATCCAAATATTAACATCCAAATATGAAATATCCTGCAACATGCCCGAAATAAGAATTCAAAGTTTCATCACAACTTACATCATTTCTAATGCTAGGGATCCCAAGATTCTCTGCATTTCTAATTCCAAGGGTTGTCAGTTCTCGAACAGATGTCTGCAACAGAAATTTTAAGATTACTTTGATGTTAGTCTATCAAAAAGTAACCTGATAAAAACAGTCCAAGGAACAAACTACATATGTTTTCTTTAAGTACATGAACCGACCGTACGGCGTGAAACATATGGCTGAGAGCTCCAAACTTTAGCCCAACCAACTTCACTCAATTGATCAAGTGCCTCTTTGACAGCTTGACTATCTTTCTGCATAAAAACAAATAGATGCATGTGAGAAGAAGTAATTTCACAGAATGTAGTAAGAATTAATATGAAGAGTTCATTTCATTTTTGTCCTTAAATAAGAAATGTCTATTTAGAGTACTAAATGTTAATTTCTTTTTTTTTGTCATAGATTAACTGAAAATAAAATATCGCCTATAAATCTAGAACCAAAAATTAAATTAACTAAATAATCTATATGATGGGGAGTATGTAAACTAAAAGTATCAACAACCTACCATTTAATATACCTCAAAAAAATAAAGAATGCAAGGTAGAATAAAATGTTAAAAAATATTAGACTGGAATTGGTTGGGCTTCCTTCAAATAGAAAGCCTCCAAAAATTGGTGTATGCCACTTTAAGCAATGAACACACGGTATTCTTTAGTAAAAGGCGAAAGAATAGTTCGCTATGTGTTCACAGCGTGGCTGCATGCTATGGGCAGATGTTACCGAGCCCATCATATAGGAACTCAAGTCCCTCGTCGCTTTGCTTCTGTTTCGATGTGGGACAATTTCCATCTTTTAACACTATGGAAATGGAAATTTATGTACATCATCAGCTTTCAAGTCTCAAGCTTTTAACTTTTGCTATGTTTATTTGGTCTCTAAATTAGGGCCAACTGACTTTCGTAGGGTGGAATGTACGCTGTGAGAGTGGAAGCAAGCACAGACAGCTAAGCTAATTTAAACTCTAAACTGCATTTCAATCTCTGCTCCATTTTAAAGACACAAAGAAAGCCCAGTAATTCCCCAAATTTGTTTCTTTTATTGAGTAAATAATTTGAAAGAATTGAAGATTGGAAGCGAAAAGGGTGCACCTTGGAAAGGGCAGATTGAAGGGGGGTCAAGTCAACACCTGGGGCTGCTGAGGAGGAGGAGGCGGCTGAGAGTGTGATTGTGAGCCTCCATTTTCTTCTGGGATTTGGAGTTGAAGTTCTTGGAATGAATTGCAGTGGTGTTATATTGGGTGGCCGAAGAAGAGAGAGAACTGAGAAGAGAGATTGTGGGCATCTCTGCCTACCTGCCTTTTCTGTATCTTCTTCCTCCAAGTAAGATTTGTTTTGATTTTGAAGACAGCAGTCAGCAGATGAAGCTGATAAATAAGGTATGTCGTGGCGGGAGGACTCCCTTCAACTAAATAATAAGTATGCAAATTTATGCTCACATGCATACGTGAAAACTACTAAACCCAGATGAATAATTCGAACAGTATAAGATGGGTCAGTCAAATATTCAATGCAAGACAACAAAATATTTAAAGAGATGGTTCACTCAATATGTGTGTGATATCACGTGTGAATCAATGAATGAATCCAAATGGAATTGTGTCTGCATGCACTTGTAAAGTCACATAACCCAAATAAGATAAATGAATAAGACGAATAGTAAATGGGTTAGTATGCATGCAATAATAATAAAAGCAGTAAGTAAATGAGAGAGGCAATTTATAGTGGTTCAGAGATGGTGTAATCCCCTAGTCCACTCTTCTCCTTTCACTCCAAGGAGGAAATTCACTATCTCGTTCACGATACAAATAGTGAATCAAGTGCACACAGGCACTTCCCGAGTGTTTTGCACACAGCTATACTCAATCCCGAGTATTTCGCACAAAGCTATACTCCGAGTATCTCGCACAAAGCTATACTCCTACACCAACTAAGTGTCTTGCACCCAGCTACACTTAGCACCACCGAGCGTCTCGCACACAGCTACACTAGCAACCACGAGTGTCTCGCACAAAGCTACTCACGAGTGTCTCGCACAAAGCTACACTCAACAGGGTAGTGTCTTGCACAAAGCTACACTCAACCTCTTTTCTACACAGTAGAGGTAAGATTTAGAGAAAACAAATTTCTCTTCTAAGGACTTGAAGAATATCTCGAGTAAGCTCAAAACTGGATATTTCAAATTTTTGCTTCTTTGTATTGCCATGCCTTCTCTTATCTCTTCTTCATGTCTTCAAGTCATCTGGTATATATAGCTGAAGAAGCTATATTACCGTTGTAGCATTAGTTGATCTTGATCGTTCATTTTGATCAGCTACACACTATTGCCAACTTGCATTGCGGTGAATTAATGCAAGAGATGGGCTTCTTACAGTGAGTTTGAAAATCCTCACCTGACAAATCTTCAAAAAGTCATATATGTCGGCTAATCAGCTGAAACTTCTCCGAAAAATAATTTCCTTATCTTGACGGATTCAAAATGATGAAATCTTCCAAAAGATTTTCTGCTGATTCTTGCTTGAGTAAAAATTATATCTTCGTCCATTTTTTCTTCTGAAATGATTTGAGATGCATAGCAAGAGATTTAAATGAGAAAGAAGATGTGTAGAAGAATTCACGTGCATCTTCCTTATCATGTCCACAAGCTTCCAAACTTGTAGTCAACTTAGCATTCCATGTGTCCACATTGTAGCATGCACCTAACAAGTGTCATCCTTAAAAAATATCTTTCTAATGAGATTTAAACAAGCCTAACAACATATATCTCCCACACTTATACCATATTAACTCATTGGTTAAATTTCTGGATTTAATCTTTATTCCCAGAATGGCTTTAGTAGCATTTTAGATTAATTCACAAATTAATCCGAGTGTGCTTCTTGGTCGTCCCCTATCAGCCTCTTCGTCGTCCCCTTCCTTATCTCTTACTCAAAAATATAGAGATTGAGTCTCGATCCATGACCTCTGACTTTACCAACCTTGTTCCTTATCCACTTCACCGCTTGATATCTTCCAAGGTAAATAATTCTCAAATAGTAACATTCTGGATAAGTATATTTTGCTAAGAATTTGGTAGACTTTATGGCTTGACTTGGGACTTAGGCTAATAGACAACTAGACTCAAAATAAAATAGGGGGAGTTCTAAAAATACAAATTTGGCTCATCAAAACTATTACATTTTATTCCTAACACAATAGCAGTTTTAGAGGAAAAGACACTCACTCGATAGTACCGAAGCATAATTTTTGCAACACAAAACCTATTAATTGGCGTAATCCATGATTCCTCTTGTTGCCACAGCTGCCAATCCGCCATAAATGAATTCTTGATTTCATCTAGTCCCCTGGTGTGCTTCACTGCAATTTTAGCGTCTTGACACGGTGCACCTTAAAAAACAGAACCAAATCCTCCTTCCCGAAAAAGACAATGATAATAGGCATTGTTTCTCATCTGTGTTGAATATATACTGTAAATTAGGTGTACCGTTTCTTCAATGCCCAATGCGTAATTCTAATTAATTGACCAAAGTTCATGTTATATTTTATATTGTATTTTTTTTAATACACTCTAACATATTCATAATATATGTTTAACAATTATGTCAGTTTTGATTGGGATGGGATTCGAACCTAAGACTTCCCTTATGATAATCAATGAGTAACATAAGAATAATAAATAGTTAACGGAAAATTCCGTTACTATAGTTTACAGAGATGGAATGCATACGGTAAGTAGGAAAAAAATAAAATAAAAAGGAATAAGGGTCAAATAGGCCATCGAACTGCACTCAATAATGCAATTAGGCCACCGAACTTCAAAAAGCTACAATTGGGTCCCTGAACTAACAAATTCTATTCAATTAGTCTAATTTGTAGGTTTCCAAGTTGTTAGCAGGTTACCTCTTTTCAAAAAAAAAAATTAATTATTATTTAAAATAATTATTTAATATTAATAATTAAAATTAAAAAAAAAAAAAAAAAAAAAAAAAAGATTGACGCCGGAGACGAAGAAGGTTTCTTCGTCTCCGGCCATGGAGACGGAGAAATCTTCTTCGTCTCTGGCTGGAGACGAAGAATATCTTCGTCTCCATGGCCGGAGACGAAGAATATCTTCGTCTCCATGGCCGGAGACGAAGAGACTCTTCGTCTCCGGCCATGGAGACGAAGAGTTTCTTCGTCTCCGGCAATGGAGACGGAGTTAACTTCTTCGTCTCTGGCCGGAGACGAAGGAACCTTCTTCGTCTCCGGCCAGAGACGAAGAAATTAACTCCGTCTCCATGGCCGGAGACGAAGAAGGTTTCTTCGTCTCCGGCAGACGGTATCTTTTTTTTTTTTTTTTTTTTTTTTAAATTTTAAATAAGTATTTTAAATAATAATTTTTTAAAAATATTATAAATTAGGGGTGACCTGCTAATAACCTCCAAAACCTACAAATTGGACTAATTGAATAGAATTAGTTAGTTCAGGGAGCTAATTGTTGCTTTTTAAAGTTCGATGGCCTAATTGCATTATTAGGTGCAGTTCGATGGCCTATTTGACCCTTATTCCAAATAAAAATAATGATGAAATTAATTTCAACAAACAATTACACCAACGCTTTTTAGTTCCAGTTAGGGGCCTTACTTTATTGGCTCTTAGCTACTCTACATATGAATAACTAGAAATTTATTGAGATGGCTGAGTTGCTCTAAGGCGCCAAATTAATATTTTGGTTTAAAAGGTCGTAGGTTCAAATCTCACTTTAAACAATAAAATGTTATTATTTTCAGGCCATTTAATATTATTACAATATGATTTTTAAAACCTTTTTTTCACCATAGAACTAATCTTAATACAATTTTCACCCCGGTAATTTTGAAATTAAAAATGTAATCTATTCTTGGCCCTAAAATTAATATATATTATAATTTCCTACACCTTTATTTTTTAAAATTAAAAATGTAATCTATAATATAATTTTTTCCCCTAAAATTGTAGTTCATTAATAATCAATCAATATACTACAAATCAAATTTCATTCTTCTACTCTATTAAAAAGAACTAGTTTACCATACGGGCATTGCATGAATTGTCCAATGCCCAATGTGTATTTTTTCAATTAGTGTTTCATATTCTCTCTTTCTTTTACGAATTACTCACAGAATTTCGAATCAATTTTATATTTGCAGGTTTGGGATTAATTCGTAAAAGAAAGAGGGATTTTGCTCTTTGCAGGTCTATGAATAAAGAGATGTCAATATTGAAATTACTGATTGTCGCCTCTATTTAACACCAAATGAACTGAATAATAAACGGGGGACTAAATTGAGCAAAAACACAAAAGTCTGGGACTACATTAAGTCACCAAAGTCAAAACCATTATAGTCGAAGACCATTTTGGGTATTCCAGTCTTTGTGGATTAGTTGACTTCATTGTACTACTGTTAACATAAATGTTTGGCAAGCACCTTGTGCTCAGATGGCACCTTTGTGACTTTCATTGAAGGAAGGTCACAGGATCGAACTCCGGTGGTGCGGTCATGACTCTTTTGGGCTGCAATTGGAAAGAGGAAGTATAGACCAGATACTACCTTATAATAGAGTCAATAGTACTCAAAAAATAATAATAATAATAAGTTTACAATTATGAATACAAGTAACACACCCCAAACTAAAATGTACAAAGACCCCAAATATGGCATCTAATTGGAATATACACAACATATTTCCCCGCTCCTTAATTGGAATGTGCATATGCTCTCCAGTCCACAACTCTCTCTTTTTTCTCATAGAATAGTGATGCATTCATGTCAAAGGTATATACATTGTACAATTTCAATGTAGAACAAGCAGGCCAGGGGCATATATAAAATGGAGACAAATGACCCATCCTAGTTTTCAAGAGCCAGATTCTTTTTTTCCTTATTTTTCGTTATGATGAATACAATTAACAATTTAATTTAGCTATTGGGGTGTTTGGTAAATAACTGTTAGTTGATTGAGTTAGTGAGTTTGACTAGTTGATAGCATTAGTTGATTTTAGAAAGATGATTGGTAATTTAGTTGTTAGCTTATAGCTGATCACATACAAAATGACTTTCTAAAAAGCTAATCGAAAAAGCTGCTTTAAGCTGCTTTTTGAAATTTAGTGTTTAAGAACAATAAACTGTTACAAAAGTTAATTAATCAACACTCATATTTGTTGTTTAACCAAGACAAATAATCAATAGTGGTCAAACAAACAAAAATTGACTGATAAGCTAGTTATTTTTACTAAACATGGCCATAATCTCTTATAAACTAATAACTATTTTTTTAAAAGTCAATCAAATTCTTAAAAGGACTTGAATTTTCGTAATCTTTGAAATTCCTTACTTATTCTCATATATATGGAATTATTATCAAGATAGCTTAGCTGGGGACAG